TAGATCTGATGTAAATTAGCTTCATATTAACTATTTTTATATAGAGGTAATTCTATATATCACCTAATATTAAGAGGATAACAAATGGAAGATTTTAATAATCACATTACTAAATTTTGATCCTTGAAATCTTTGATAATATCAATGTTCACTTTGTCTGGTTTTGTTGCAGCATGCCCCATATGTATTACTGTAGTACATCAACATGTGGTAATAGCGATTTTTGGTCCCGAAAACTATATAGTAATAGATAGATTGATATACGCATGCTGTGGTTGGCTAATAAGGGATAATTCTTATTTGGTACAAACACTGGCGGCGTCTCGCGGAAGATGTGGTTGAAATATCCTATTTTGGAAAGATCTTCAGAAAATTTATAATGGTAAATAGTATTAGTATTTCGTAGCACTATAAATCAGCGCCCAAAAATTGTTCTCAAAATTGGCGTTGTGGCGCAGAAGGTGGGATTCGTGTAACGGTTATGGAATTTGCCCTTTTTTTTACAGATTTTTTAAAAAAAAAAAATATTATTATTCCTTTTTTAATATTTATTATCTTTCTCTTTTTTTATCCCTACTTTCAAAAAAAAAAATAAAAAATTTATTTATTATAATTTACCTTCTTTTTCTTAATAACAACAACATAGTGCTAGTTTAAAATATCAAATATAAAATAATATAATAATAAATAATATATCCATAATATAATAAATAAAATATATTTATTGAAAGAAATATGTGGCATTGTATGTATAAAGCATGTCCTTGTGTTTTTCCTCGTAAAGAGTATCAAACACCATTTGACAACTACTATGAAGACGATGACAACGTAGAGTTTGAGAATTTATTGGCAGATCCTGATTCCATACCAGCTCGTCTCTCCCGGTCGCCTTTCCAACGAAGTAATTCACAAGGTTATTTAAGAATAAACAGTATGGTAGCGCCTGATGAAGAGACTTCTTTGCCTTCAGGTCATTTCGATACTTTGTTGGAGGATGACGAAGAAGATAATATACAAACTGCTGACGCACAATTTTTACCCGACGAACAAATTAATAAAATAAGTGAACAGGTATGGCACATGCACTTTTTTATTTTATTTATTTATATATTATATATGTGTATAAAAATTATATATAAATTATTATTCTAATAATATTTAATTTATTTATTATTAATATATATATATGTATGTATTATATCTATTAAAAAATTTTAATTTAACAATTTAAAGGTAAAATTTAATCAATTTAATCAAATGACTGATGAACAATTGATAGCAGAAGAGGAGGAAGAAACTAGACTTCAAGAAGAAGAATATAACAAGAAAAGACAAGCTGCTAAACAAGCTGCATTAGCTAAAGGTTTAATGACATCTGAACAAGCAGTACTCGCATCTCCAAATAATAAAACTACTTTTTTCACAATTGAAGATGACGAGAATGGTGACGAAGAAGACGACGACGATGATAATAATGAAGGAAAGAAATTAGGCGGAAGAAATAATACCAATAGTAGTAGTAGTAGTAATAATAATAGTAATGGCAATAGTAATTTTGTTGAATTATCATCAACAAATACAAATAATACTACAAGTGCAAATACAAATATAAATAAAACTTCAACACCAAATGATGACGATAGCAGTAATAAAAATTCATCATCATTACTAAATTTACCTCGTAATCCGCATGCACGTCTATTTGCTGCCGATGTTAATTTGGATGATTACGAAGATGAAACAGAATTTGATGAACAGTAAGTACCTTACAATTTCAATGCCTTAACCTATTACCTTTACTAATGTTTAAAGAAAAATAAAAAAGAAACCGATAATATTAAAAATAATACTGACTTATAGGTCAACCACCCATTCCAAAGATGCTCAAACTACGATCGACGATCCCCTGACTCGTTATTCAAACGACGTCACTCAAGGAGAAGTTTAGCAATGATGAATGACGGGATTCAGAAAGTGGATATCTCTTCATCTTTATCGTTTAATATCCCAACAACACAACAATCTTTTGATTATGATGCTACGATAGAAGATTATAGTCCTTCATTAGACGAGGACATAGAAGAAGTCGACCATATTTTTGCAAGAATTTTACCAGATTTCTCGGAGAGATTAGGATTTTTTTTTAACAAATTAACAAATAATAAAAACATTAACAATAATAAAAACATTGATAATAATAATCATAATATTGAAAACAATAATAATAGCCAAGAAGAATTAAATAATATTAATACTAATATTGATAATATTGATGATAATAATAAAACAGTGACATTTACCGAAGAGCCTGAAGAAAGTTCATTAATCAATTATTTTAATAATTCAACATCGTCATTTACTAACAACAATCAAAAAGTCATTCATAAAAGATCTAAATCCAAATCAAATAGAAAGTCACTCAACACTCGCTTATCATCAATATTTACACCACCGTCACCACAATCATCCTCCTTCACACCCACCACTACCTCTACTAATTCATCACCATCAAACACACAATAATAACATCAATTATCATAATATTATTTAATTAATATCAAATTATCATCATATTTATAATGAATAACAACCATATAATATATTAATAATAAATTTATGCAAATACATGCTTATTATTTTTTTAACTTCAAATAGAATTCTTTCAAATTATTCATGTTTTCTCGCCCATTCTTTCTTTTCTTCCTTTTCTTCATACATTCTTTCTCTCCCATTTAATCGACTAATTAATTAATCAATTATTAATCTATCAATATTTAATTTTTTTAACACATAAATATCAATAAAATAAAAATTTATCTTCAAAATAAAGTGTGTAATTTTGATTTTATCACATGTGTAGTGTGCAAATCCTACTCGTAATTCAAAGTAAGTTAGTATTTGACGCGAACATATTTCTCGTGTTAACGAAAATTTTGGTGACACAAAATCTATATACAAAATTTCATTGTTTATAATTTATATAAAAATAATATAATTAAAGAAAATGAATGATATTAGCAGCTACCAAGAAGGTTCCATAGTTCGTGTTTCTTTAAAGAACTTTGTAACATATGATTCAGTAGAATTTAATCCTGGGCCAAATCTTAATATGATTATTGGACCTAATGGAACTGGTAAAAGTACTATAGTTTGTGCCATTGCCCTTGGTTTGGGCTGGAATACCTCGGTTAGAATTAAATTTTTCGTATTATTATATCATTGTTATATTGCAATTATAAATTAAAGTTAATGTTAAGAGTTGGAATGATAAGAATAATTATTAATGAATATTTTATTTAATTATTTGTTTCCCTTTCCCTTCGAAAAAAATAAAGCTCCTTGGACGTGCAAAAGACATTTCAGATTTTATAAAACATGGACAAGATCGTGCCTCGATAGAAATTGAGTTGAAATGCAAGGACGATAATGTGGTGGTAACGCGTCTTCTCACAAAGGTTGATAATAAAACTCTATGGAAGTTAAATGGTAAATTTTTCATCAATACAATATTTATTATATGGTGTTGGTTGATTCATTATTTTATAATTAATGATATAAATGTTTATTAATATGCTTTTAAAGGTGAGAAAACCACACTTAAAAATATTCAGAGTACGGTCGAGTCTCTCAATATACAAGTTGATAACCTTTGGTAAAAAATTTATTAAAATATTCATAATATTACTATTTGTAATAAAAATAATACTAATAAACATTTATAATTACTTATATAGCCAATTTCTTCCCCAAGATAAAGTTAGCGAATTTGCACATGTAAATAATAATAATAGTAATAATAGTAATAGTAGATGACATAATATTGTTATTAATTGTAATGATCACAAAAATAATAATAATAAATATATAAATATAAATATATATATATATTAATTTCTAGATGAAACCACCAGAATTATTGGTACAAACTCAAAAGGCAGTTGGAGAAAAAGAATTATTAGAGTGTCATGAATCGTTGATTAAACTTAGAGAAAAACAAAAGAAAATATCATCAGTAATTATTAACCATTCAAATTAATTCCATTTTTCAATTTAAATGTTATTTGATGATTGTTAATACATAATATATATTTATTGTATAGGAATCAAACGTTGATAAAGATGAGCTTGAAAATCTGGAGAAAAGAAATGCAATCCTAGAAAGGGATGTAATACGTTTCAGAGAAAGAGAAGTGATTCTAAAAAAGGTCGTTATCACAAACACACACATATATCATGGTCACATATACATGTATGTATAAAACTTTTATTAATATTTTTATTTAAATATAAATGAGTAGGTTCGATTATACGAAATAAGAATTCCACTTGCACGCTATGGACTCGCAAAAGCTGCATATGATGAAATAAAAAGAGAACGAGGAATAGCCCAGGAAGAATATAATCGACTCATCGAAGAAAATCAACCTGCCAATGATAGAAAAAAGTTAATATTTAATTAAATGTTAAATATTGAATATTAATCTTAAATATGTTAAAATTATTAATATAGTTATTAATAATTTTAAATTTTTCTATAGTGAGCTTGAACAAATTATCAGTGAGGCAACTGAAAACAAAAGAGATCATTCTGATTTATATAGTTCAAAAAAACGTGAACTTCAACGATTATCTGATAAAATAGAGAGATTGGTATGTCAATATTAATTAAACTTTGACACATACACATATATATATGTATATGTATAACTTACACGTAACATATGCATGTATAAATATAGGATAATGTGATAGATGAAATACGCAGAGAGTTGTCATCTGTTAAAAAAAGAGTTAAATATAGAAATGAACGAATTGCTCAAATTAAATCAGAAATAGCACGATTAGAAGAATCCACAAGAAATCAATCATCCGATGAGGATATATTAGATATAAATAATAAATTGGTATAATATATAAATAATATTCTATAATTTTTGTTAGTTTTACTCATGATATGAATTATGATGATTTTTAGGAACAACTTTCGCTTAAATTACGTGATTTAAATGATAATCTCGATAATAATTCGTATAAACAAGATGATCTCAACAGAGAAATATCACCTATTCAAGGGCACATTAGAAGTTTGCACAATAAGTAATTATAATTGTTATATGATATCTACACACACCCACATATATTTAAATATACATAAAACATGTATTTCTGAAAATACATAACAAATTCACACAATGATTAATTTAATTTAGATTAGAACGAATTAATGATTTGAAATTGCGTCGAGCTGAAAGAATTCGAAGTGACCGTGCAACAACTGAGGCTATTGAATGGTTGAAGAATAATCGTTCTTCATTCAAAAAACATGTTTATTTTCCAATTTGTATGGAAATCGATGTTAAAGATACAAGATATGCTGATGCTATTGAAAATGCAATTGGATATAATTTGAGTGTAAGTTATTATTATTACTATTATATCGGGAATCGCTACTATTATATTAATAGATATTTGTAATAACAATACAAATGTATACAAATATATGCATTAATATATATACAAATATATTTTAAAAGACATTTGTGTGTGAAGATGATGAAGATTATCGCACTATGACCAATGAGTTGTGTGATAAAAGAGGACTAAGAGTTAATATTGTATGCTTTTCTCACACAAACGTCAACGATTTTCAATCGCCGTTAAGTGGCGAAGAGGTAAGAATCTTTTCTTTGTAATCAATGATGGATTTGATAATTAAAATTATTATTTATAATTAATTAATTAAATGGGATTTTTTTCCTTTAGATGAATTTACTTGGTTTTGATGGTTTTCTCATAGATCAAATTAAAGCACCTCCATCAATGCTTAATGCACTTTGTCAACTGTCTCGTCTTCATTCCATCGTAAATAATCAAAAGTTTTTTTTTGAAAAATTTTTTTTTAATTAATTTGTAATTAATTAATCCATTAATTGAATATTAGCCAGTAGCATTGGATGAAAAAAATATAAACCATAAACGAATTGAATCACTTAGAAAAATTACCAAATATATAATTGGAACCACATTATATACAATAATATTCTCTAGATATGGTCGCGGACTTGCTCAAAATTGCTCTGTATCTATAAGAAAGGCTAGGATATTATTGGATTCAAGTAATTATTTTTCATATGAACTTTACATTATATTGTATTGATTATTAATTATTTTTCTTTTTTTTTTTAATAGTTGATTCAAGAGAAAAAAGCGATATTCAAAGAACATTAGAATCTAGGCAAAATGACTTATTAAGCAAAGAAGGTCTGCTTAGACAATTGAAAGAACAAGAAACTACTATTAAATCTGAAATTCGTAAATTAAAGGATTCTAAAGTAAGTAAATATTAATTATTTATTTATCTGAAAATAAAATTCTATTATGATTTAATAATAATGATAAAAAAATGTGTTTATTAGAATAATTTACTTGAAGAGAAAAGAAAAGCTCAGCAAATAGTGAGTAGTCACGCACGAGCAAGAGCTAAACTGGGTAAATATAATAAATATTATATATAATTATTATAAATAATATACATTTAAAACGCATACATGTATCAATGATAATTAATTATTAAACCTAGACCAAAAGAGAGATGCCTTACAACGTGAAATCGACTTGCCTGAGACAATTAAAGAACAGGAGATTTCTTTAAAAGAAAAACTTTGTGAATCAGCAAGAGGGAAGGCCAGAGTTTTCGATGAATATCAGGTTTTTTTTTCTTTTCTTTTCTCTCTTACACTCTTTATTACGTTAATTAATGATCTCATATTTTTTGAAATAAATGACAATGATAATAGTCAACATTAAACGAAACTATTGAAGTGTTTATAAATCGTAACAAAGCCAATTTGAGTTTAATTCAAGCTACAACAGATCTTGGTAATTTGGGTAGACAAATACAAGATAGAGATGATGCTTTGAGACAAGCAACCGCTAAATTCAATGAAGGTTGGTAGTCTTTAATAACGAATTCTATTGATTGTGATTGTTGATTATAATTGTATTTTTGTTTTTGCATTAAAAAACATTAAAGTCACGAGGAAACTGAACGAAGTAAAAAAAGAGGCTGCCCACTATCGCCAAGAATCAAATAGGTTAATAAATAAACTTGATGATGCAACAAGGAATGAGCTTCAGGAGGTAATTAATTTTTTTTTAAGAATTTTAATAAATAAAATGATTCGAATAATTTATATTGATTTGATTTTTTATTTTTAAGTTGACACAAAATATGACACTGGAAGAAATCGAAGACGCTATTACTGATGAAAGAGCAAAAGCAAATCTTCATCATACTGTTGATCCTAGAGTTGTTGATATGTATGATGAAAGACAAGCTAAAGTATTTATTTAAATAATTTGTATGAGTTATTCATAGTTATGGGATCTATCTTTTTTAAGTTTACACATGATATTTTTTAGATTGATTCTCTTAGGTCACAATTAGAAACAAGGAATTCAACGTTAACAGCATTAAATAATGAAATAGCAGAGAAAAGGGTATTATTCATTCATTATATGTATGTGTGAATAAGATATAAATATAAAATTAATATTTTTTATATATAGCAACGATGGGAACCTAGATTATACGAATTAGTTAAAAAAATCAGTGATAACTTTTCAGAAGCATTTGATAGTGATTATTACTTCACATTTATTTATTATAAAGATTGTTTATTATTATAAAATTTAAAAGGTATTTTCTTTATTATTATTATTTAGAAATTGGATGTGCAGGTGAAGTACGTATTAATGCTAATGAAGATTATGATAAATGGGGCATAGACATTTTGGTAAAATTTAGGTTCGTAAATATATGCGCGTTTTTTGAATTTATTATAATTTGGTAAGAATTAATCAACAAAAAATTTTTAAAATAAAAAAGGGATAATGAAAAATTACAACCATTAACTGGTCAAAGACAATCAGGAGGTGTAAGTATAATGTTAATTATTTTCACTTATAAAATGAAAAGAAGAAAAAATAATTTTATATATAATATTTTCAGGAAAGATCTGTATCAACTATTATGTATTTAATGGCATTACAAGAATTGGCCAAAACACCATTTCGTGTTGTTGACGAGATTAATCAAGGAATGGATCCTAAAAATGAACGTTTAGTTCATCATCAAATGGTTCAAACTGCATGTCGACCAAACACTTCACAGTATGTGCTGTTTTTATTATTTATTACAAATCATTTATTTCTGGTGGAAAACCAAAGCATCATTTGACATTTATTAATTAAAAATTATATTTTATTATTTCAGATATTTCTTAATAACTCCTAAACTATTACCAGATCTTAATTATCATAAATTTATGAAGGTACTTTGTATTTATAATGGAGAGTGGCAACCTGAAACGATGAACTGGAAAAAATATATTAAGGAACGAAGAGACTCTGCTTAACACAAAATATAAAATAAAAAATTTTCATAAATTAAACAGTTACCTCCTCACTGTTACAGTGCAAGGCACCTAGTCCCTACAACTTGCAGATCCTTAACTCTTCCAAAAATGGAAATTCATGACCAAAAAAACAAGATGTAATTTTGAAGCTAAGACCTTTCTTTACAAAGTTACATCTTCATTTTGTTGATACGTCTGATACGTCATGTTGTTGTGGAGGAATTAAGTCTCAAAGTTGTACAAGTTTAACAAATTTACCATGTTAACCCCAAAGTGTTGCACGCAATTTTTTATATATATTAAAAATGAAGAATCGAAATTTGTATGGTTGATCTTTTATCACGTGATGACAGTTATGAAAAAATCCGAGAGCAAAATTTCTTTTTTCTAATATAATTGCTAATACTTATAGTATCTTAATTATGTATAAATACATATTATCCCGCACTTGACAATCTTCACAAACACTTGACAATAAAAATTTTATTGCATTTTTGATTGTAAATTTTTTCTCAAAACTGTCGTTGTGACGCAAAAAGTTGTGTCTTGCATTATGGTTGGCTCGGCTAAAGATTCCTATTGCTGCGCCATATGGCCAAATTTCAAAAATAGCAATTTTGTACGGTGCGGATCATCTATACTCAAAAGTTAACACATTGGATTTTAAAAAACCCACCGCCATTCAATTCAGCTTTAAAAAGGGAGTCTAAAAAAAATTTTTGTCTCAAATTTTCTTTTCATAGATTTGAAAGTTATGCTCAAAAATACCGTAAAGTCTGGAAAGATAGCATCCCCTTTTTACACATGTGTAACATTTTTTTTATATTGACGCTCAATTGTTTTAAAGTAGGGGGTGCTATCTTTCCAGACTTTACGGTATAACAATAATTTTCGTGTTACAATATTTTGAATTTCACGACCAAATTTGATAATGATTTTCTTTTAATGTCAAGCGAAAATTTATAATCCGACTACCAAAAACTCGATTGATTCCAACACATTTGTTTCTTATGAACATATAATAACAGATGCACGGCATTAAAAATTTCCTGAGAAATGTGATTTTTCCATTTTATATAGGAAAAATGAGAATTATTATATGTCTAATGTATTACATTTAGAGAATTTTCCACAATCAGAATAAATAATGAAAAAGATGTTGATATAGATGATGAATTATGAATTGGAAAAATTCAAAACAAGAATTTTTTTTTCAAATACTTCTACATCATCACCACCATCATCTACTAAACTTCTATCACCTATCGAAAAACATGAACTTTTAATTCTTCCGTAAATTCATATTTCAATTTAGCAAAGAAATCTCAAAATGACAATATGTTTACTTTTTTTTAAAAAATACAAAATTTAAATTAGATGATCAACTTCTTTTATTTTATCAAACGTAAAAAAATAATGTATTATTACCATGTTTAATTAATAAATTTATCTGCAATCTTTGTTTTAAAGACATATATTAAAAACCATAAGGCTCACCATGAAACTGTTACAAGTATAACTGGTGGATCGCCAAGAATAGTTGTGAAATGGATCTTTCTCATCCAGTTTCCGTGGAAATCCATCTGGACATAAAAAATAGCTGTCTTTGCAACTGAAAAAACCATGTCGGGCTAGGAAATATAATGAACTCATAATCTCTGTTATCTGTTCTCGCTGTGATGGACAAGTGGAGAATGTTGTCCGGGTTTACTTTGCGGAATCGGGATATTAATGCCTCATGTAACATCCGTCGTGGCTTTTATTTGAACTCAAATAATGACAATAGTTATCAAGGGAAAACAATGATAGAGGAATTAGGTGAAGATGAATAGTCTTTGACCCATCACCTCAGTTGTGTAAGTCAGCTCATTATGTAGATTTGTAGTGGCAGGGGGTTGGGAACTCCTGTTTGCGGTTCACATAACGTTACTGCTGTCATGAATCTGAAATAGCTGTAAAATCAGTATACTGCATTATGTAATAGGTAATTTATTAATATTGAAATATTAAAATAAAAACACTATGCTAATAGTACTTTGTTCGAATAGAAGCCCAATTGCTGTGAACCATTCGTAATTAGGATTTTTAATTAAAATAAATCATTTGGAGGTTTTTTTTTATTCCAACAAATTCATCTGCTTTTTTTTATTTTTGTACTAGAAATCATCCTGGTTCCTCAAAATCATAAAAATTGAGCATATAATAGTTTTCTTGTAGCAACATTGGTTGGTACTTACCAGTAAGTTGATTTTTTTTCATATGCTTCTTTATCAAATCATTTTTAAATGCATAAAGTAATTTGATTGAATCTTATAAATGGAAAAAATATTTTTCAATTCGATGATGTGACTTTTTCCATTCCGAAGTAATTTTTCGCCTCCAATTCTCAATTCACATTGAACAACACTAAATTTCTTTTAATTTGCACAAAATAATTCTGAACTAATTCCTTAAGATAACCTTGAAATAAATCGCGTGATTTACGTTCATCACAAGTTATGAGTAGTTATCAAGTATCATCTGGTTTCAAACCATCTAAATATCACTATAAATATACTGACCAGAAGAAAGCACCCGAATAAAGTTTTTTAATAATTACGTAAATTACCACTACACATAATTTATATTATTAGAATACTTAGGTTTTGGTGTGTTTTAACTTTGCGTATGATTTTTAGTTAAAAAAAAATTGGAATAGTTTGAATAAGTTGGTACGTTTTATCACGTGTAGAAATTCAATCTCAACACATTTTTCTATCAAGTTTATTTCTTATGAATTAACAGCCACACGGAAAGAAATTAATTGTTGTGTTGCATGTATAGAGTTATTAACTTAACTAAATTAATGTTAATGTTAATGTTAAGTTGATACTGCCGACATAGAAAGTTTTATTATTATTTATAAAGCAATTTTGCAATTAAACAACTAACTGGTTGCTTCACGAATAGATTCAGTTAATAGCAAAGGCACAAATATCATTCACTACCTTGCATATTAAAGATATTCTCAGTTGGTTAATGGATGAATTCTGAACGATGTCTATGGCAAAGTTCATATTATTATCATTGCGTGATTTTTTTATTTTTTGAAGAAATGAAAATTTCATGATAAATACCATAGGATTTCAATAACTTAAAAAGAACTATGAATGGTGGATGAACTTCAGGCCCTCGCTTGAAAAGCAGAGGAAAATAAATACACCATTAACATAAAACTTTACAGTAAAATCATTGTTTTTATTAATACTTAATGTCATTAATAAACTTTTAAATAAAAATAAAACTGTTAGTTTTTATTAATACTTAATGTCGTTAATTAACTTTTTAAATAAAAATAAAACTGTTAGTTTTTATTTTTCATTTGAACGCTTTGGTAAAAGCAAAAGGTGGAGTGCCTTGATAAAAAGGCAACAACTGTGGAGCTTTGGTAAAAAGATACATTTGATTTGCTGTTAGATTTTAACATAAATAGATTAAGTCATCGACAATGTTATTACTATATATATTAATAATTAAATTTTTATATTTTCACGTGATTAGAATCAGCAAACATCTAAAAAAAATTTTATTGTAGACTCAATAATAATAATAATGGTAATCAAAAAAGCAAAATACCATGTTGTCGGTAGAAAAATTAAAAGTGTACAAGGAAGACCTGGTCAGAAAAAACAAATTGGCATTGAAAAGGTTAGTAGTGGTAAAATTATTAATTAAATACATAATATTAAATATATAATTGTTAATGCTATAGAGGAAGAAATCTCTACTGGTTGAAATGGAAAATAAAAATAAAGTTGGTGGTTTTATTGATAAACGTTTTGGTGAAAATGATCCGACAATGTCTTTAGAAGAAAAAATGTTGAAAAGATTTACAAAAGAGAGACAAGTAAGTGGCTGACTACAAGTACAAATACAAATGCAAATACGATGCAAAGATATTTATCGGACGAATATTTATTTAATCAATGAAATTTATTATTTATTATTTATTATTAGAAAAAAACCAAATCTTCTATTTATAATTTAGAAGAGGATTTGACACATTTTGGACAATCATTGGCTGAAATTGATGAGGATGATGATGATTTGGGATTGAGAAGTGGTGATGACAATGATGATGATAATGGTAAAAATTATATAAGTTAATTATATGTTATTATAATTATTATAATTGAGTTGTGTTTTTATTTAGGATTTATTGATGAGAAAACAGTCTCAAATGTTCATTTTGGTGGATTTGATGATAAAAATCAAGATGTGATAATAATCTTTATATCATATTTGTTTTTTTTTTTTTTAATGTTTTAGATCAATTATTTAAAATCATTTGAAATTTTTATTATAGGAATTTCAAAAACATAAAAAATCTAAAAATGAAGTCATGAAAGAAATAATTGCTAAAAGTAAAGTTTATAAAGTATGTAAAAGAATTAAATTACATACATACATACATACTATTTATTATATTAATTATATATTTTGTTATTATTAGTATGAACGTCAATTAGAAAAAGAAAGAGATGATCATACAAGAGATCAATTGGATCGAGAATTTGCAAATATTCGTCAGTTACTAGTTGCTTCCAATAAATCCGAATCTGATAAAAACAATTCACACTCTTCATCTCAGAATAAATCCAAAGAAAAGGAATCTGTTGTCATTCAAAAAGTAAAAAAAAAGGAATTATTATCTGACGAAAAGTTAAAAAAAGATCAAGAGTATGATAAATTGATTCACGAGCTAGCTTTTGAAAAACGCGGTAGACCTACTGATAGAACAAAATCTGAAGAAGAAATTGCTTTAGAGGAAAAAGAGAAATTGGAGAAATTGGAGGTTGGGATTGATTAATTAAGTATTCACGAATAGTTTATGTGAGAACTAACGATAATTTGATAATTTGCTTTTATTTAGCGTGCAAGAAAAAGACGTATGGAAGGCCTTAGTTCAAATTCTGATTCTGATTCTGATGATTTTAGTTTAAATACCAGTAAAAAAAATAATAGTAGAAATAAAAAACAGAAACGTGTTCCTGTAGCAGATGATCTTGATGATGATTATATATCAGAAAAAGATGATGATGATGATGATGATGATGATGATGATGAATATGGTCTTGGAAAAGGAGTAGGGTTAAAGAAACCCGCAAAAATTGCAAGATTATATGATGATGATGATGATGATGACGATGATGGTGATGATGATGATAATGATGATGATAATGATAATGATGATGATGATAATGATAATGATAATGATAATAATGATGATGATTATTCAAATATTCTATACAATATAAAATTATCAGCTAATAATCGAGCTAAATTAGAAGTAAGTATATATAATATCTATATTAATAATTTTTTTAAAGAAGTATTCATCATTATTGCAATTATAATAATTATTTTTTTATTTTTGGCCTTGTTAAAAATCAATTATAATCTAGGCATTTCTTCCAGTTTTAATTGATTATGTTTTATTACGTGCACAAGAACCAACAATCCCTATACAACTTATAAATAAACTTTTTGCGCATATTTATGATTTTGCGCATAAATCACCAGAAGTTGCAACAAAATATTTTATTGAGAAAATTACAATGTTTGAAAATAATTTAATGAAAGGATTAAGATTATTATCAGTGAATTCCTCCAAGAAACCAAAAAACGCATTATCAACATCATTGTTTCCTAGTTCATCTGAACTTTTTTTATTAAAAATTTTATCATTAATTTTTCCTACTTCTGATTTTCATCATCCTGTTGTTACTCCCTCAATGCTATTAATGTGTCAATACTTAACAATTTGTCCTATTTATAATGGAAAAGATTTGGTATCTGGATTGTTTATATGTAATCTAATCTATGAGGTATAATTATTTTATTTGTAATAGTTTTTGATTAATGTATTTTGGAATTAATAATCAACGGTTTATTATTTACTGTTTATAGTATCAGAAATTATCTCAACGTATTGTTCCTGAAGCTCTTAATTTTCTATATAGTTCACTAGTTTACCTTGCACCAGCGAATACATTTAAATCGTTGGATTCAATACCTGGTTTGTTTCCAACAAACTCATATAGAAACTCACCAATTATTCATCTTCAAATTAAAGATGCCACCAATTTAGACAAATCAAAATTGCCACAATTAAATTTTTTTAAATTATTGAATCATAATAAGGACGAAGAAGATATTTATGATAATGATAAATTTAGGTAAAATGTATTAATTGATTGTAACCCTTGGAACATTTTTGATATTTAAAAATTTTTTTTGCCAAAATATTCTAAAACATTTTTTTTTTTAAAAAAATTCAGAGTTTCATTATTATTAGGAATATTATCCCTTATTAAACAATATGCAAAACTTTATAGTTCAACAACTGCATTCATAGAACTTTTTCATCCAGTCATCGAAATCTTATCAACATATTTTTCGATTGATAAATTTTCAAATTTTGTAAAGGTATTTTATTAAAAATTCATCTTTATAATTATATTATTATAATATTAAAAAATAATTTTGAATGATTAGGATAAAATCAATCAATTGAAAGAAACGTTGGAAAGAATGGAAAGATTTTCTCGTGAAAGTCGTAAACCTTTAGAACTACAACATCATCGGCCTATTCCATTACCCACATTCATTCCTAAATTTCATGAAAAGTAAGTCATTTGAATATATTTATATAAAGTTATATATCTATTATACAAATAATAAATCTTTCCTCACCTTTTTTTTCTCTTTAAAAAAAGCTATTCAATTGACAAGAAATATCGTGATACAGGTCGTGACCAAGCCAGTTTTAATAAACTGAAATCCCAACACAAGAAGGAACGTAAGGGTGCAATACGTGAGTTACGTAAAGATAGTCAATTTATAGCAAGACAAAAAATTGGTAAAATTAGAGAAAAAGATATGGCTTATAAAAATAAAATTAAAAACATCATGGGTATTTTGGAAGTTGAACAAGGTGAAAAGAAGGCTTATGAAAAGGCAAAAAAATATGGAAAGTTATAAATGATTAATATAATTATTTAATTGTAGTTTATTATTTAATTATTAGAGTGTATATGAGAACAAATAAAAAATAATTTAAATATTTACACATTTTTGTAATAATCTTCAGTTCCAACAATTAAATCATCATTTAGGTCTGATGCTGTTGTTGTTTAATTAAAGCAATAAGTCATCTTGGATAACTTTCTTTATTACTGCAAGCAATATTATTATATTCTTCTTCAATCGTAACCTCCAAAATTTTTACATTTTTCCTTTTTGCTTATTCCTGGTGGTTGTGTAATTTGACTGATATGTTTTATATCTATCTGTTGTGGCAAAATTGGTGATGATCTGATCGGTAAAGAATTTTTATAATCCTTTTATGATTGGATTGGACATTAAATTAAACTGTTCATGTTTTAGTGGTGATATTTGAATAATAATAATAATAATATTCACGATATTTGGAATTTAAGTCGATCGTTTTATGGACAAAGGAGATCAATTCTTCTGATTTGATCAGGTGATTGATAATGTATATAACCATCATTTTTGACAGTCGGTCCACATTCACCTGTTGTTATATTTTAGCAACAACATTGTCAATTCAAAATTTATATAAAGATTATTTTTTGAACTCGTTAATCTGCAAAATCTGCAAACCAAACTCTATAATCATTATTTTGAAAACAAAAAATTCCTTCTCAAAAAATATAAAGTTTAATTAAAAAATAGATTCTCTCACATTTCATTTTGTGATGAAAACTTTTATACAAAGCAACTGTTTAACTCCTTTATGAGAAAAATTACCAAAAGGTATCAGTATCTTGAAAAAAATAAATTATTGTTAAAGACGCATTTTGAGTAATGTGGTACAATATACCAAAATTTTACTTTTTCCAATATTTAAAAAAAAAAATTTATTATAGTATAATAATGTCGTTGTTAAAACCTGGAGAAGTAAATTTAGGGGTTAGTTTTTAACGTTTAATAATTTCAATTCTGAAAATTGTCTGTTTGGATACAATAATGTAACTTTTTTATTATTATTTTAATATTAGACCACAATTATGGCGGTTGAGTTTGACGGTGGAGTGGTAATTGGAGCTGACACACGTACCAGTACTGGCAATTATGTTGTAAACCGAACAACCGATAAATTGACCAAGGTTCATGATCAAATTTTTTGTTGCAGATCAGGAAGTGCAGCAGACACACAAGCTATTGCTGATATTGTTCATTACCATTTACAAATGTACACGTAAGTGAATAATAAATAACGATAATGATTGATTATAACAAATGCATATAATTAAAATCTAATTTTCATATATAGAACTCAAAATGGCGAAGCTCCGACAGTGCAAACAACAGCAGCTTTATTTCAACAAATATGCTATCAAAATAAAGATAATATAACTGCTGGTATTATTGTAGCAGGATGGGATAAATATAAAGGTGGATCAGTGTATATTATTCCCCTAGGTGGTGCATTACTCAAACAACCATATGCCACTGGAGGTTTGCCAATTATCTTCAATTATTCTTATTATTAGTTATGTTGTTCGGATTGATTATTAATCTGAAATATTTATATGTTTTAGGTAGTGGATCTACATATATATATGGTTATTGTGATTCTGCTTACAGACGAAATATGAGTCGTGAAGAAGCAATAGAATTTATGAAAACTGGTCTGTGAAATTTCAATGCTACTAAAATAAGAATCCTAAATTTCATAGTATAATATAATAATTGTTTTTAATAAATGATAGCTATTGCACTTGCTGTTGCGAGAGATGGATCTTCTGGTGGATGTATTCGTATGGCTGTTATCACAGAACAAGGAGTTGAACGATTATTTATTCCAGGAGATCAAGTGCCATGTGAGATTTTTATTAATAAGTTAATTTTGTTTTTAAAGATTTAATAATAATATTAACATTTTATATTAAAAATAGTAATTGGGGTAATAAATAATTAATCAATTATATTTAAGAATGAAAAATAAATGACACTTGATAAAAATCAAAGTTTTTTTCCATTTTTAATGGTTAAAAGGTTTTTTATTTTAAAAAATAATGAATTTATTAAATTCCTATTCTTCAGCTTTCTTGTTTAATTCCAAATACAGCATTGACAATTATTTCAATTGCTAATTGAGCACCTTTATAATTGAAATTATAGTAAATTCATCTAATGTCCTCTCTAATAGAATTTAAAATAATCCTTAAAACTTGCATCTATACGATGTGTTCGATATCAGGAACACTATTGATGTCAAATTCTAATTCTATAAAAAGGATAATCCACTTTCAATTAAAAATACATTACGTAATTTTGTTTCAATTTATTTAACTTGCAAATTCTTTCCATAATAAATCCCATATTTAAAGATTGAAAGTCATATGATCATAAAATGAATTTGGTACACGTTTCTATCTATCTATCTATAGTCCAATGTAAGAAGTAATTTATCTTGTATTGCGAGGCGCAGGGAAATTTTTTCATTAACATTTAGGAAAACATTAACTAAACAAAAAACAAGACTTTAAAAGCTACTCCTTATTAAAAAAGAAAAAAGTAAACCGATAGAATTAAGCTAAAGACCTAAACTTCATTTCCATCGGTTTACTTTTTTCTTTTTATTAATATGTCGAATGATCTTTCCTTGTAATATCCTAAAAGGCTGATGATCGGCTTGAAAAATCTTCGTGATGCAACAAAAAATCTTTCCAACAAAAGAAATATGATTACTTGAATCAGAAAGATCTTCTAAAACTTTAAGGTCAGGTGATCATTTTGACGGACTGGCTGCGTAAAGGTTAAATCCTAATTGGGAATAATTGTCTTGATAGCGACCAAATAATTTCGTGAGTTTAGCCAAATGCTCATTTGGGTTACGCGGCCAGCCCTGGTTTATGATGACGTAACCATATTAATATTATCACATGGAAGAGTTTGAAACGTGAATGAATATCTTACCTGTATTCGTGTTGACTTTTTTGGAAAAGATCTTTCCGTTACCCAACCTTCAACAAAAAATTTCAGGGTACGCCCCATATTGTAAATGATTTTTAATATTAATATTTAAAAAAAATATGCGAGAGGACTTTCATAACAATAATAATAAACAGCAGCAGCAACAAATTGTAGGAGGAGGTGGTGGTTCTTCGTTGTTCTTACAACTACAAAACTCAAGACAACCACAATCAATTCAACCGGCAACCGCATTTACTAATAATACTAACGTACAAGGGCTTTCTTCAACACAAGGCTCGTTACAACATCAACATTCTTCATATTCTCCTAGACAAATATATTCTAATGTTAATAATCATAATCATAATAATAATAGTCCTTTAAGACATTTATCAAACGTTCCTATACAACCACAACAACCACATCAATTATTTTCGAATTCCTCTAACTCTATAAGTTCAATATTTTCTAATAATAATAATAATAATAATAATAATAATAATAATAATAATAATAATATAGGAAGACAAAATATTCCGAGTTCTACATTATCATCTGTTCAAACCTCTGGAGTTGCTAACAACAACAACAACAACAACAACAACAACAACAATAATAATAATAACAGTAACAACAACAACAACAACAACAACAACAACAACAACAATAACAACAATACAATTACTGCTACTGCTGCTACAAGCCGATATCAACAAAATCCTACACCACATCAGTCACCTCCACATCAATCAAATACAACATTAAATTTACCACATAATGTTCTTGCCAATTTAGACCACTCCACATTATCATCACATAGTCCTCATTTATTAGCAATTAATTTAAATAATTACAATGACAATTATGATAATTCAATACAATATTCACCAATGCCGTCTTCTTCTTACCACCAACACCATCATATTGATTCATTAGTTAACACTTTGCATCCTCATCATCAATATTCATCATCTGGATCAACCCCTCAACAACCCTTCAATTTGCAATCCATTCAAAAAGTTAATTCTTCCTCACCTTTTATTGCTGCTAATACTGTTCAACCAAATCCAAAAGGATTAAAATCACAAAAAGATTCCAAGTCACAAAAATCACTAAATCAACAAGAGCATAATCAGAATCAACATCAAAAATACATCATAGATAGTGCAGTTGAAGATGCAGCACGGACACTCTTTTTATCTTCAAGATTGAATAGTGATTTCAATTTTAAAGATAATAACAATAATAAATTTCTAATAACTCCAACTTCTTCGTTTCAATATGATCATCCTTTACAACATGATTCATTGGATATTGATGAGACTCCAAACATTTATACCAAACAGTTAACTATTAAAGCAGTTTTTTTCTTAATTAAAAATAATTTATAATCAATTAATTAAAACGATGATATTTTTTAAAAATAGTAATCAACAACAAGAACAACAAAAACATGGTAGCAAAGGTATTATATATGTGACTCATTTAAAAAAAGTATAAAATTAAGGCAAAATCATTATAGTACTAAAATTCTTCTCCCTGACTGGATTTTAATTTAGATTATACAGATGAAGAAACTATAGAGAAACAGGGAGAAATAGGTTTAATACCACATAATAGAGGTCATAAATTAAAAAATAGAGCTTACACAATAGGTGAAAAATCAAGATTGCAAGCACCATATGATATTTACCAAGACATTGAATATATCGACACGCCAAATAATCAAAGATGTCCTATAATCCACAAGTTTTCTAGGAATTCTATTTTGAAAGCAGTGGAATGTTTCAATGATTTGGAATTCGATCCTTATAAAGATATTAATGTTAGAGGTTAGAGATTTTTTTTTTTTTTTGGGAGGAAAATCCAATCAATCAATTATTAATAATTTATTATATAATGTAATTATTAGAAATTTTTTACCCATTAGAGAAATTAGAAGATGTTGTCAGGAAACCTCATTATAAAAGGATTTTAAATGACAGTTCATTAACACATTGTGCTGATTTCTTGATGGAAAGAATTGATAATGAGAAGAATTTCAATAATGTAATTAGTAGACTGATGACTGTATTGCAAGGTGATGATGCCATGTATCCAAACCTGGACTTTAAACTTAATCCACCGTCTGAAATAATCAGTACTCGTGTTGTTAAAGTTGAAGAGGAAGGTGGTGTGGATTTGGGTGTACTTGGTGTTGGATTACAAGGAAATGATAGGAATAGGGATATAAGAGTTCATGAAGCTAAAGACCAAGGATTAGAAACTTTAATCGCTGTTCGTGAACAATTACAAGTAATTTACTTATTTATTTGATTTATTTATATATATATATATATATGTTTAGAAAAAATTTTAAGTATTTATTTATTTTTGCTTAAATAGGAACAAATTAGTAATAGTAATGAGATTTTAAGGTGTTTAATTGAATCAAGAAATGGTGTATTAAAAGCTATAAGACAAAGGGATTTATTAAAAGTTAAAATTGTTTCAATTGATAAACATAAAAAAAAATTAGAAAAAAAAGAATTAAAAAGAAATTACCAAGAAACTTTGGAATAAATTTATTATTATTATTATAATTTTTCTTTTTTACCAGAAGAAAGATTTGTTTAGAATTTAAAAAATAAAAAAAAATAATATTAATATTAATCACAAATTAGATTTCAATGCCGCTTGTGCGTGTGAAATTCAAATTACTCGATCAGAATTTTGTATAAACAAATATTGGAACTTTACACACAATCAATCACTGGACAAACCACATCTTTGATTTTATGATTTTTTATAACATTTGTTCATTTATATTATATTATATATTAATAACATCAGATTCTGCCAATGCTATTGGTGATAAATATTTGATAAATAATTAAATGAATAAAATACCTTTTAATTTAATAGTTGCATTCCTAAATATGTATTTAAAAAAATATTAGTTAATAATAATGTTCATTATTCACAAAAGTAGAAAAAAAACACATTACCATTATTGTCTTCAATATACTTTGTTCTTATAAAAAAAATTTTTTTTGAATGGCAAAGAAATTATTGACACAACTAGTATTATAAAACCTTTTTTTGCGAACTTATTCCCTGTAAAGCGATGGACCATATGAAGGCTTAAAGTATTTTACACTTTCTCGGCCACTATCAAGTCTTTTAAAGCAAATAATCTCAGCTTTGAAGCGAAAAAGTAATACTATTTTTTTGAATAGCCATGGATTTAACAATTGTTGTAATTCTTCACAGCATTGTTGGAATCTTTGCAGCGTTTGTTGTAGGATCGTTGTAATTATTCGCGGCATTGTTGAAATCTTTTGTGCCATAAAAAATGATTGAAAATAAACGGATTCGAAATTTATAATGCGAGATGTCAAGAAGAACCTTCCGAGTTGATCTTTGAAGAATAAATTTATGGTTCATTGATGGCTGTCGTTTGCGATGTTTTCTCAATGGTGTCACGTACTTGTTTGACAATGCCATGGGATTTTGAGAGTCAATTTCTTGACTTCTCACTGGAAAGTTTTTATTGCTTGCTTTGTAATTTTGAAATTTAACATGTCTTGGAACAAGTTCCAAAAACTAAACTTTCTATCGTTAAAACCAAATAAATACAAGGCGTACAAGCACCTGAATCAATAGACATGTATTACTAAACAATTTACTTTGTTTCATTTCCTATCGTTGATAATAATTTCTGGGACCATTCTTTGATACGTTATTATACCAAGGTGTGAAGGCTGGCGCAGTTTTAGTTAACTTCTGAATTGTTAATTTTGACATTGGTGCATCTGGGATGGTTGTTAATAAGGTAAGGAATCTATTAGTCAAATTTTGCTTGTTTATATGTTTGCACGAAGGTATTCGGCAATATATGTTCCTTCTTTATGATTCGGATCTTTAAAGAATATAATATTCATTTGGAGTGGCAATTCATTAAACATTTGATTTGAATCGGAAGGATCTGGTTTGAAAATATGATTGAATTTTAATATCCTTTTGTTTTATATACGCATATTGTAAATTACCAAAACATTAATTTAATGCTTTTTCGCGCATAAATCAATTGACAATTAAAGAAATTCTTACATTCTCGGCGAATAATATTCCTGAACAATTACTAAATGAATTGAAAAAATCGGAAATTAAGTTTAATCCAGGTAATAAATAATATAAATAACATTTTTTAAATATTATACTTATTTATAATAATCGAGACCAATTGAGATATTACGCAATGGTAGAGAGATTAAATCACAAGTTTCTGATAACCAAGAATGATTTGGTGATTTGTCATATCAAAATATGTGGCAAACCTTTAATATCAGATCATTTTATAATATTAATGCAATTTCTAGAAATGTTCAAGAAAAAGCATAGAAACCAAACAGGAAACAAAATTACACATAAACTTGTACTGTTCTCGGAATTTGGGAATTTAATGTATAATATTTTTTTGTTTATTATGCATTCATTCTTGGTAAATAAAATAATAAATTTGTACCATTATTTAATTCTGCTGAAACTTTCAAAGGACTATTTTTTTTATAAGCTGTTATTCACCCCCAAAAAATAGGATTGATTAATTTGATTGATCGGTGAATAAATAGGAAGGAGAGTTTTTTTAAAATAATAATAATAATAAAACTTACAAACTATGGTATTATATTCTAAATTCACCAGAGACTCAATAATATTGTATAATGATTTAGAATCCACCGTTACAATATCTAAATGTTTAGTTAATTGATTTAATTGATGCAATTAATAAATATAATAATAAAATAAACTATTATCATTTATATTATTATTACCTAAATCATCTGTATTAACATTGCTGTTGTCGTTATCATTGTTAAGGCTTATAATATTGCAATCAATTATTAATTTGTTTTCAATATACTCATTTGATGATTTAATTGCCAATTCATTATCTTCATGTATTGATAACTTGGAATATTTAGATAAATTCCTAATTTCCATTCCATCATTACTTATTAATTTCAAATCATAATAGTTTACTTCTATACCAATCTTATTATCAAGAATATATAACATGTATATATTAATTAATACAAGAATAATATGTTATATTCACATTTTTATTGAAAACTACTTACGTTCGACTCATCAATGACTGGTCTGCTAAAAGTTGTAGAATCTATAATTCTGACTGGGATATTGTAATCAATTCCCTAATATATATATATATATATATATATAACATATATAAATATTTAAAAATATAAAAAAAAAAAAATCAAAATTATATTAAATGATATATTTCCTTCTCTTATTCTGTTATTTTATACAATATAATTTAAATTAACTTGAATACGATCAACAAATTGAACAATATATTCATTCGTTGACGCTGTAAAACAAAGTTTCATTGTTATTCGGTTGTTAAATTGATTCGTTTTTCCCAGCAATTCTAATAAAGATGCAAATGTTTCCAAATTCTCAAAAAGCAAATGACACTCATCACTAAAAGTGCAATTAATTGATGAAATAAATGAATGGCTTCTTTCAGTTGTTAAAATCTTTCTAAATATCAAAAAAAATGCGTGTTTCTTATTAGTGTAAATAAATAATATAATTTTAATCATATATGTATATATATAACATGTAAATGATTATAAATCCACACATTTGTATATAAACACTAGTATGTGTGATATCTACACTTGATATATACAATCTACCAGTGCTGCAATTCATTAAAAGCGTCTTTTTATCAAATCGAATAAAGTTATTATTAACAAGATCTAAAATTTATTATTATTAATAGTAGAAGTGATGATAACAGTAATAATAGTAATGTTAAAGTTAATAATAATTACAAAATCAATATCATAAATAATAATAAGATACATGCGATAAAATTCGTTTATGTTGGTAAAAACCACTTCCATGATAATAGTTGTTGATTTATCGATATTCAAAATTTAAAGATCCACGTTACACTGGCACAACAAAAAAATGATTTACTCCAACAAATTCTAATGATTACCCTTTACGCTCTTTATAAATGGCAAAACACAAATACACCAATCAATTGATCAGTCATACAGTCAAATCTTGTCACAGCAGATAAACGAGACACATATGAAATCCGTTGTGACAAGGTTTGACTGGACTGCATACAGAATTTTGTTTAAAATTCTTCCATTATTTAATTATCACCGAAAATAATATCTCACACTTACCATGGCTCATTATTCACGTCTCAAATTTGAAATTCTCCACAACATATTACCCACAATAAAAACTTAATATGTGACTATCAAATTCCACTCTCGCCCAGCATTAATTGTCTACTGAAAATACCACTCACCTATTTTCCTTCCAAGCTAACTCACGATTCCATGGCCAACAATCCAATACTCAAATCTTAAATTGGCGCACATTTCCAAAATCATACAAACTAGACAACTACTACAACCTCTATTCCAATCTAACTTCAACCATACACCGCCTGTAATTCTTGAAGCTGGAGTAATTCCATCAACTCTAATCAACTTTTTATATCCAAATATTTAATTTTCATAAAAAAACTTTCTCTCCTGCGGTTTGATAATTTTTTGCTATAATAATATTTGGTTACCACGGTGTATTTTATTAACTCATGATTAAAGTAAACCTAATGTTGCTGTTTGACGAAATGTCATCAAAGCTGTAAAAATATCGCGCCAAATTCGCAGTCATTAAGTCAAAAATGACGCAAGTAAAATTGCTTTAAAGGCTAATAAAACATGAAAGCTCACAAAAAAACATGCAAATATATATTCCAAGGTCTTCTCTTCAATTTCTTATTTTTATTTTGTTATGTATCCCAATCTAAAGGAGCTAAATTCTTCTTTACTATTCCTTATATTATTAATATTAAATCAAGGTCAACTAATTTTAGTATTAGTGTAGACTAAATTTTTACATAATAATAATTATCAAATGAAAATTTACACAAAAGCTTTATCAAATGGAAGTTTTTATAATATCAACATACATTGATTAAGTTACTTTGCAATAATAAACCATCTTTATCTTTATCCTTATTGTAATAATAGATAACTAACATTCATAGAAGCCCTTCTTGAGCTTTGTAAAAGAGCCATTTTATTTATTTACAGTTATTCGGTACCATCAAGTGTCCTTATAGATTCGTCGAAGCTTTTTAGGTACAAGCAAGCAAGAACTAATTAATTAACAAGTACTGAATTATTGTGAGTTGCTTGTTTAACAAGAATCAGAAAATTGTAAAAGTTTATTATTATTATTATAATTTAGCTTTGAGAAATGAAATAAAAATTAAAATAAAAAAATAAATAATTATATATAACAAATAAATTTATAGTGGAGATTAAATTAGTCATTCATCATCCGTTACCAGAATCTAATGTTTATTAATTAATCAATCAAATTGTTAGTAATAATTAATGGATAGTAATTCCCAACTAATTAATAATAAATTTTTATTCACCTTCAGCATTTAAGTGAAGAGAGTTAAAATCAAGATTATTTAATGAGGTATCATTACTTATATAACCTTTAAAGCTTTTATATCTAGAAATCTCCACATCTAATATTCTACTTGTATGGTATGCATCTGGATGTGATTTGTGTACTTGTTGCAAATCACCACCACCACCACCACTGCTGCTGCTGCTGCTGCTACCACGATTTTTAATTTTAGATAATCTTTTTATTAAACTATTGTTGTTACTATTATTTTTCAAACTTTCAGCTGTATGAATTTCTTTCAACTTTTTTTCAGCAAAGATAAAAAGCTCCCAGCTAGTGGGTCTTTTTGATGAATCTTCATCCCAACATTTCTGTATCATTTGTGCATAATCATCAGGCATTCCAGGCAATATTTGTGGTCGTAAACCTTCACATATATCAAAAATTAAACTATGGTCATGAGCTCTATCATCAAATGGTGGATAACCTGCAAATATTTCCCACATTAACATCCCAACACTATAAATATCTGTTTCTTTTTGCCTCTAAGTAGCTCAGGTGCAACATATCAGAGTATCTTGTCAATTACACTTGTTACATTCTTTTGGTTTTCATTTTTATTTTTTGCATTTTTTAATTCAAATTCATAAATAAAATTTTCTTTACAATATTCTTTTTCATTTTCAGAAAGCTCCTTGTTTTTTTGGACTAATGAAAAAATAATCTTTTCTACTTTCTTCATCAGAATTAATTACTGCATTATTATGCATTCCATTATAAATTTTATATACAAATTCCTTTCTTTCTGGTGATAATGATGATAATAGTTTAACATATAACATTATATAAAATATAAAATATAAAATATGGCTTTGTGTTTTAACGAATAGAGTGGTTGGTTACATTATTTTGTGGAGAATTTGAATGTAACAAAAAATTTTCTCATGATTATTATTCGTGATAATAATTCACATTTTTATTAATATACAAACTGACCCGTGAGAAATGTTTTCAAACATTCAAAAAAAAAATAAATAAATATATTTTATATATTATTTCATTATTGAATTTTTTTTTGTTATAACAAATCCAGCAAAAAAAAAAACAGTGAACTAACATGTTTAAAGGTACGTTTATAAACTCTTGCACTTTGAAAAATTATTCTTAGTTCTACAATGTAAAGAAATGATTACAACATGCTTGGGTCTAGACCAAAGAAAGGTATGAATATTGTTATGTTTTATTATAGTTAGTGATTACTATAGCAAATGTGTTGAATCTTATTAACGATGTAATACTTTTCATTAGGCAAAAAGGATTAATAGTGCATACAAGTCGCAAAGGTCAATGCAAGCTTTCAACATTTTGTAAATATATTTTTTTACGAATAAAAATATTCAATTCAAATGGGGATATAATTTTTTTTTATATTTGTGTTGCTTCAAACCAAGGTTGGGTGACGAAAATATTTTGTGTAAAAAGTATTTCGTCAAATGGGGCACATGTGACGAAACGTGACGAAAGTGACGAAAAGTGATAAAGGGTAAAGTCAAAAGTCAAATTGTGATAAAGATGACGAAAACATAAAATTCAATTTTATTTAGATTTAATTAAAACAAAAATTTAATTTTAAACATTTTTTTACATCGTAAATTCATGTTTCTTGGTTGAATACTTAATTTTTGTACGCAAAATTTTAGTAGGAATTGCTGCTTCACATCTATTGCTGGTTTCATAACTTTCTTCAAAATCTGTAGAATCATCTGATAATTCTGATTGTTGAAATGATTCTTCATTAACTATTTTAATGGAGTGTAACCATACATCAAATACAGGACGTCATGCTAATTCTTGATTATTGTTAAATGAACTTTCAGATATATTATCTAATTTTAATGTTTGCAAATTCATATTATTATATGATGATGATTGAGAAGGAATTGGTGAATTAGAATTTGACATCATGAATTTTACTTCATAATTTAAATTCTACAAAATAATTGGTTTATTTTATTGTTTTGTTGATTTTGTCACTTTCGTCAAATTACTCAAAGTGTAAAAACCCTATTTCGTCACATTTATTTTCGTTATGTGACGAAAAGGAGACATTTCGCCACCCAACCTTGCTTCAAACTATAGGCATTTTATTATTTTTGATAATTGAATAGTGGTGATCGGCGTAGTAATAAAATTATCCAATCAATTTATTATGCGTCAGCCAATCACAGAAAAAGCCCTCTATGTTTATTTGTACATCAGTTGTTTATTTGGAAATACATTGGGTGAATATAATACTATCAGGGATTTAGCGGACCGTGCAGTAAATTCTGCATTAACAAAAATAAATGACAATGATCGAAAGTTAAAAATATTGGAAATATTACCACAGGTAGTTGCATATTAAAAGGTTTTTTTATTTGATTATATTAACGATGATACTACAGCAGATAAATAAGCCGATTGACTGGTTATAGCTGAAGGCTGGGGAATGACAACCCGGAAGAGGAAGCTTTTAGGGATGAAAATCCCTCGAGGTGTCGAGGGTGCTGCTACCTTCCTGGCTGTGCGTAACTTCATAGTCAAAAAAAAAATGATGCTTCTGTAGTTCACCGATATTAGATATCTGATTGGCACACATATAAATAATTGTTTCGCACAAAACTAACATATATCATCTGTTGTAGATGCAATCTGGGTATAAAAGCATATTAGGGTTGAAAGTGATTTATATTAAGAGGTCCCATTAATAACCAAGTTATATAGGATGAAGAACCTGTTCCGGATAATTCATGTGAAAAGATTGAAAAAATTTAATACATTAAAATCGACACTTATCGTAAGTATTTAATAATACTATCTTGTTTGTTTATCTAGAAAAACTTATATATAATAATAATGTTTTTTAGAATTCCACCGACTCGGATATATCTCTTTGTGGTTTAAAAAGAATCTAATGGAATATAGTGACCCTTCTGAACTCTCATGGAAAAGTAAAGAGGCGAATGCGGTTCTTAGCGATGACTTTATTACCGTGGAAAAGTTAGGATCGAGACAAAAACATCATTTCTTGGTAATAATTATTAATTTATTTATCTCACATAATTTGTTATATAAACTGCATTTTATTTACATAAATTTGTTATCAGGAACCTAGGGAGAATATGAAATACGACTTACCTGAATCTATTGTATTCAAGTGTAGGAAATTTTAGATGACTTTAATGAGTCTGGTGATACATGCATCCTCAGAAATATTATCCACGGAAAAAAAGAACAGAACGAATACTAAGCATACTGTGAGTTTCAGTAATATTTTCTATACATATTTAATTTACTAAATTTTATATTATCATCTAGTGGAAAAGTGTGGAAGAATTCAGCTTTCAAAAAAGTACAGCTCGCAAAGAACAAAGTGAGGGAACTTATATCACGGATATAATTATGCCTTTACTTCGGGCTAGTCTGGAAGATATGCCTAATGGGTGTGTCCGCTTAAGCACGTAAGTAAATTTTTTCAATATGTCCAACTCTTCTACGAATATATTGATTATTCAAAATCGACTTTCATTACAGGGCGGAAAGACAAAGTTTGGCGAGCAAATTTTTCACAATTCGGATGGGAAAAGAAGCCCGATATTATGGCTTTGATAAAACATGAAGAGAGAAAATTAGTGAGTTAGTTATGCTGAATCATCACTTATAATTTGCAACAATACCAAAAGGTCCGATGATGAAATAAAACTATGGCGAGAAACATTAGATGGTATCGATGCGTTAAACAAGCTTGTAGACTTCTCAGGAATCCTATGAGTATGTATCCATTTTGATATGGGTAATCTTTTATTAAATTACTGACAACTATTTTCAATCTATAGAATATATTAATTGTCAACCAAAGCTTGATTATGCAGGCTTCAGAACCACATGGAGAAGAATAGAAACAAATGAGGACTAGAAAGATAGGTTATGTAAACCCTCCTTTGTGTGAAGACGGGAGATTAAAGAAGAAAAATAACGCAAAATTTTAGAGGATACATATCTATCCTATATTTTTATTTTTCCCATATAATAAAGCTGGCCTGGTGGCTGATAATTGGTTAATTTTTGCGTAGCATTTTGGAATTTATTACGCTATGTTTACATTGATATCAATATATACATGAGAATTTACTTTTATTGAAATTTAGCTTTACTGTGAGCGTCTGCCTTGTAATGTCTATAACCGTGTTTTTGCTTTGTAATTGTAAATTTCTCTCCATTAACACATCTAAATTAGTATCAGATTCATTTATCTCTGAAGAATCAGGGGTTAAATTTTATTCCAAGTTTATCAACTAAGCTTTACTAATACTAATGTCATTAACTGGGATAGGGCTCGTGACCCTCTTTATGAATTTTGCATTTTACATATGTCATCAATAATTAATTACTCATCTATGTCACAAAGCATTATTATTTGTAATCCACGATGATAGAACCTTCTCTGAGAAAATTATTAAATGCGAAAATAAAGGATCCCGAGAATTCGAATCATTATCTTGAATTGATCTTAGTTATAAAATTGAGGGAAACCATCATCTGAATCAGAACTAGTTGATTCGGAATTAGACCATTTATATGGTTTTTTATAATTTTCAATGTAAATATTTGGGTTAAGCTCTTTTAACCAATATTTTCAAAATGCTCCAATTCAAGTATTTTAAATTCGAGCAATTTCTCTGATAGTTACGTTAAAAATGTTACTAAAACCAAGTTCAAAATGCTCGAGTTTAGGACAAATTTGAAGAGCTTCATTAATAGTTGATTCAGGAATAAATGGACAGCAGGTAAGATTATGATGTTCTATATTTGGTGTGCCAAACAGTTCAAAACCGTATTAATTTCCATGACGAAAGACTAAACCCTTGACGAAAATCAAACCATTGAAGTCGTTAATAAAACAAGCAAAAACTAGATCTGATTTTTATTAAAATATATTATCAACTAACAATTATTTAGATTTCTGTCTTTATTTTTACAACTTCATTATCAACATTTCTTCTATGTAAATTATGTTATTTGTAGTTGAAAAATTAATTAATGCAAATATTCAAGATGAAGGAGCAAGACATTTAATGGTTATTGGAAAAAGTTAATACAAGCCTTGACTTTTTTGATATATTTGCTTAAATTTCTTTGTTAACATTATCTTCAGTTTCCGCATCATTATTCCCATCTTCTAAATTACAATCTTCACTTTCTAAGCAATGATTGACTTTGTTTTCAAAATTGTCATTATTTTCAATCTGTAAACTTCCACTTATGAGGATAAGAAGTTGTGTCGTTGTTAGTATAATACCATTTCGCTTCGTGGGAACAGAATAGACTAAATACGTATAGAATTTTTACACCTCAAGGATGTAATCCAAAACCCCCTGAAATATAACAGGGATCTTTTTTCCCATCAAAAAACCCACTTTCCATCTACTATATCGCCTTTATACATAGATTTTGGAAAGCACGTATCTCTTGCTCTTCTTTGATTAAGAAGAGTTGTAAATTCTATCCAGTAAATTTCAATCTGATTCAAGTATGCTGTATAATGTGTTAATACAGACATGTGGCTCGCTGATGAAAAGGTGATTTAAATAAATATTTTGATAAAGGTACTACTTACAAAAACAGAAATACTGAATATCAGATCTTTACGACTTCACTAACACAGAAAAATAGACAAATAACTTACCTTGAGAAATTATATCACTCTTCCATTCCAACTCGGTACGCATGATTTCAATTTTATTGTTAAGTAATTAAAGTTGGTGTTTGCAACTAAGAAATTTCAACTTGGGATGTTACAATCTATGTTGCAACCTGCTGCAGAATTTCAATCAGTTGCAAACACCAACTTTATAAGTAATAATATGAATTTTCGAGTTTTTGATATGTTGCATCAGGGTACCTTTGTTGGATTTTATATAAAAGATGAATGCAAGGATCACATATGGGGATGCCAAAATAATTGAGATTTGGCAATGATGCCATAATTTTAAATCCTTTGCCCAAAATTTAATTTGAATACCATAGTAATAGTCACAATGATTTGAGATTTGTACGGCATGTGTGATTGCAGGACAAGTGTGACTTGTACTTTTATCAAGAATTTTATTTTTCCGATGCACACACTCGCACATACATGATCAAAAATCGGGCGAAATGAATTTGATTACAAACTTTATCCTTGACTAAAGAGCCTGACACGCACATTCACCATGATTTAGATCTTGAAACCAGGAAACATAAATGTATATAGTAGACAAAAACAGTTGTGGCGCACAAACATGATGTAATGATGTAACCAAAGATTGGTACATTGCGTGCAAAATAAAATCGTATTATGGAAATGTGAACAGTGAATAATAATAGAATCCTTTAAAAATTCAGGCCTTCTTCTAAAATAAAACTATATCGAGCATACAATATCCAACTATTCCAGCAACTATTCCAGCTAATCTACCAAGTCCTGGTTGAGAATTTCCATTATTAGTTACCGTGCCAAAAGATGTATAAATATGATCGTTTTCAGAATTTACAAATAGTTTGGTATTGTTGGCTTTTAGATGATCTGTTCCAAGGATGTTAACGTCTATGAAGTGTGAGCTGGAATTGGCGGTAACCCCTATTACCATTACTATGAAAAGTTTATGCGGAAAATGCATGGAGAATACACAGAAAATGAATGTACTAATATGGAAAAATTGCTTGAAAAGCCTATCCATTTATTTATTTAATATTATTTAAAAAAAAAAAAAAAAAAGATCTTTATAAAATAAAAAAAAAGTCTGTAAATATTTATCACTTTTTTACTCTTGCTAAAAAATAAATGGCAGAAGGAAAAGCAGGTAATTATTATTATTAATTTAAATTTCGAAACAATGATAATAAAAATAACAACAATAATAATGATAATAATAATAATAAATAATAATACCATACCATATATCATTACTTACATTCATAATTTATTTAACAAATATAATTTACTTTAGTTGGTATTGATTTGGGAACCACATACTCTTGTGTTGGTGTTTGGCAAAATGACAGAGTTGAAATTATTGCTAACGACCAAGGCAACCGTACAACACCTTCATATGTTGCCTTTACTGACACTGAACGTTTAATTGGTGATGCCGCAAAAAATCAAGTTGCTATGAATCCACACAATACTGTATTCGATGCTAAACGTCTTATTGGTCGTCGTTTTAATGATCAAGAAGTCCAATCTGACATGAAGGTACATTAAACATTCTAATAATGATGACGATTGTGTTATACACATAATAAATATTATATAAATAATAATAATAATTTGTTATCAATCTTTAATAATTCTCGTATCATCATTCCTCCTCTATAATAATAATAATAATAATATAGCACTGGCCATTCAAAGTTGTTGATAAAAATACCAAACCATATATTCAGATTGAATATAAAGGTGAAGCTAAACAATTTACTCCAGAAGAAATTTCGTCGATGGTATTAACAAAAATGAGGGAAACCGCCGAAGCTTTTCTTGGTACAAAAGTAGCAAATGCAGTCGTTACAGTACCTGCCTATTTCAATGATTCTCAACGTCAAGCAACAAAAGATGCAGGTATGATTTCTGGGTTGAATGTGCTTCGTATCATCAATGAACCAACAGCCGCTGCTATTGCATATGGCTTGGATAAGAAAACAAAAGGAGAACGTAATGTGTTGATTTTCGATTTGGGTGGTGGTACCTTTGATGTTTCATTGTTAACAATCGAAGATGGTATTTTTGAAGTCAAGGCCACTGCTGGTGATACCCATCTTGGTGGTGAAGATTTTGATAATCGTTTAGTAAATCATTTTGTTCAAGAATTCAAACGTAAATTCAAAAAAGATCTTACCACAAATGCTAGAGCACTTCGTCGTCTCAGGACAGCTTGTGAACGTGCAAAACGTACACTTTCAGCATCAGCACAAACATCTATTGAGATTGATTCGCTTTTTGAAGGAATTGATTTCTACACATCTATAACTCGTGCCAGGTTTGAAGAATTGAATCAAGATTTGTTCCGTTCCACTATGGACCCAGTCGAAAAGGTGCTTCGTGATTCAAAAATTGATAAAGCTCAAGTACATGAGATTGTGTTGGTTGGTGGATCTACTCGTATTCCAAAAATTCAAAAACTGGTATCAGACTTTTTCAATGGCAAAGAACCCAACAAGTCCATAAATCCTGATGAAGCTGTTGCATATGGTGCAGCTGTGCAAGCAGCTATTTTGACTGGTGACACATCCGAGAAAACACAAGATCTTCTTTTACTCGATGTTGCACCACTTTCACTTGGTATCGAGACAGCTGGTGGTGTGATGACGCCTCTTATCAAACGTAATACCACCATTCCAACCAAAAAATCAGAAATATTTTCTACCTATGCTGATAATCAACCTGGAGTGCTTATTCAAGTGTATGAAGGTGAACGTACTCGTACCAAAGATAACAATATATTGGGCAAATTCGAATTAACTGGTATTCCACCAGCTCCACGTGGTATACCTCAAATTGAAGTCACTTTTGATATCGATGCTAATGGAATTCTTAATGTATGTATATTACATTTATCTCAATTATGGTTGTAATTCGAAATAGAGTTAGAATTAATGGATTTATTTATTAAAAAAATTAACAAAATTTTTTTAATAAATTAGGTATCTGCAGCTGATAAAACTACTGGTAGATCTAATAAGATCACAATTACTAATGATAAAGGAAGATTATCAAAAGAAGAAATTGAAAAAATGGGTTAGCAATCAATTAAGATGATGATAAAATTAAAATTTTAAATTTTCGAAAAGTTAAAAATTATATGTAATGTATCTCATATTATTATTAATTCAATCAATTTAGTTTCGGATGCTGAGAAATACCGTGAAGAAGACGAAAAAGTAGCTCAAAAAATAACAGCACGTAATGGATTAGAAAGTTATGCATACAATTTGCGTAACACGCTTCAGGTAAATAATTCATTTATTGAAAATAATAATAATTAATTCACGAATTGATAAACTTATTAATAATGATAATGACAATATAGGATGAAAAAATTGCAGGCAAGCTTGATCCAGATGATAAAAAGAAACTCGAAGATGCAATTCAAGAATCAATTACATGGCTTGATAACAATCAAGAAGCAGAAAAAGATGAATACGAACATAAACAGAAATCGCTTGAAGAAATTGCTAACCCAATAATGATGAAACTTTATGGTTCTGGTGGTGCTCCAGGCGGTGGATTCCCAGCTGGTAGTGCTCCAGGTGGTTTTCCAGATGCTACTGATACTGCAGCTGGCGATGATTCTGGACCTACTATTGAAGAAGTTGATTAAGGAAATAATAAATAAAACTAATAATCATGATTTTATAAACAGAAATTTGAATTTAGCCAATTTTTATAAATATTAAAATAAATAAATATTTTGTATTATTTTTCATTAGTATATACATATATGTAAATTTTTTGTAGTAAATAAAAGTACAATAACCCATTTGTTAATGTGGTCTGCACCTTCACTCTCATGTTGGAAATAATAAAATTTATCTTTTTTTTTGTTCCACAATTGCATCCTTAATTTTTTTTATATTAAAGTTTTTTGCCATTTGTGTAGCGTCGATGAAGTATCCATTGAATTGTGATAAGTGTTCTTTAGGTGCATTGTACATTGTATTTTCTATGCCTTGCCAATATAAACCACCAGAAAAAAAAAACTAGCATTATTTTGTTCTTTCAAACATTTCGTAATAAACCACAACCAAAAAATTGTTCACCAAAATGGCCTTCCCATTATTTTTAAAGTTTCTTAAAATTGTTTTTCTGGAATGAGCAAGGTAAAGTAAAAGATCTGTCATCCATGGTTGAGGTTTCATTGCAAGGTTTTTTCTCTTTTTAAAAAAATTTGATAATTCATTATTTATGGTACTCGGAGAAACATATAAAGGCCCTAATAAAGGAACTGGACGCAAAATTATACCTGGAATATTTGATGAATCACCATATGTATCTCCTTCAAAGAGTAGTCACTTTACGAACATAATATTATCCAGGATAATCGACTAGTACAGGTATTATAAAGGGGTGGTAGACTGTTTGAAAATAATTATCTAAAGATTTTAATTCCTGATGAATAAAAAATAAGACAATTTTAATAGGCTTAATCTTTTATGTTCTGGGTGGGTGATGCATGACTAATGGACTGTTAAACAATTAGTTGTTTCTTCTTTTGTGAATCAACCATATAGAACCACGATTAAAGCTGGAACAAATCAAATTAAAGATATCTGCCGTGGTTGGTTATTTGCGGCAATGGTAACTACCATAAGGTGGTTAGTTATCTCTGGTAGTTACCACTATAAAATAGCTACGGCTGTGTAAATAGATACAGCTGCCGTAAATAGTTATGACTTCTGCAAATAATTGCAAATTTTATTTTTACACATAATTTCACTGTGAATGAACGACCGACCAATTGAATGCATCAATTACAATTTATATTAATCTTGAAAACTATTATTTGCGGCAGCCGTATTTATTTGTGGCAAATGGTAGCTACCAACACCTATTTACGGCAATAGTAGCTACCAGCCCAATCATTTACGGCACGTGTCATTAAATCGAACCGAGTCGGATTTTAAGGCTGTTCGTTCCAAACCAGATTTTAAATATTAACGGATTAGCACTAAATTCTATTATTATTATTATTATTATTATTATTGTTGTTGTTGTTGTTGTTGTTATTATTATTATTATTATTAACAATCCATTAATCCGTCAACAAACCGCGATATCTACATCAATTGAAGACTTTTTTCAGACAAAAGAACACGGATGAAACCTGATTTTTTAAAAAAATCAATATTATCCAATAATATTTACTATTTTAATTGACCCATTACCAATTTGGATAAAAAAAATCCTTGATTATAATATTAATATTAATATTAACGGATTCGTAAAGAGACCATAAAGTTAACCCATTAACAATCATTCAAAAATACTCGACTACGGTGCATAAAATTCGCGTGCATAATGTGCAGCACTACGGTCAACACTCAATATAGTGAACCTACTATATAGTGAATCATATGATATATGAAGGTGAGAAATTTCATTATATATAAATTCAGCTTGATATAAATGATTTTTAATATAAACTCCCCATACAATGATATGGTGAAGGAAGTTGTTTTGTCAAAAGCCAATTCTTCTTTATATTGAACACCCAAACTATATTACATTTACTTTTTGTTTTTCTATAGTGCACAAAATTATATATGTTATGTGAGCCATTATTAATAAATTTTTTGTGCAAAACATGATATAAAAATTGATTGGCGAATTTTATACATTGCTCGATTAGTCAATTTCCCCTATTATTCCTATTATTCCAATCTATTTATACATTTCGCAAATTAATGAATGTGATTTTTACCAATTTTACATATAATGTATGTATATATAATGTATATAATATTCAAAACCTGATAGGATGCTTGTTTTTTTTCAATATCTATATATAATCATCAAGACCACGTTTCAGATTCATTATCAATAACAACTTCGGTGATTCTATAAATTTGTACATTTTTATAGCACTAATAAAAGCTTTACTTTATTTTTAGGAAGAAATTTAAGGAACGGTATATACAAAATTTCAAGGTGACTTGATATACAATGACGGGTGTTTTATATGGGGGTAACTTCGGCTCATTTAAAAATAACTATACATTATAAAATCACACAAATTTTCATTGACTATTTATTACTCCGTTTAATAAAGATAAAAGGTGGCGTGTCTCGGGTTACATCAAATATCTTCCTTTAAAATCTTCTATATTAACGCTTTCCGTTACCCACCATTTAATGAATAAGAATGATTGTATTAACCAATCAAAGTCAAGAATTGATTTTTACGGTGGCGCAAAAAATTTTATTCAAATTGGGCAAACAAAAAAAATTTTGAAAAATTGTATGCACGATTTACTATATATTAAAATTGGGGAATTTTAATTCGTTAAAAAACAAGATTGTGTAATTATGTACGTAAAGGGAAATTCATACAGTACGATAAACAAACACACCAAACCTATTAGAAATGAAAAATTTTGTAAATAGGAAATAATTGCCAAAACATTTGTTATGCAAGGGAGAATTCACGTTCCGTGTTTAAGATAATAATAAACAAAAAAAACTATTTAAATGAATGCTAATACTAGATTTTTTTTTTTAAAAATTTTTTTAATAAAAATGTTGAAACTACCTTTTGAAATTATATTACTTATATTAGAACAATTGCCAACAAGGCAACTTTGTAAATTTGCCACTTTATCAAAAACTTATAACTTGGAAATTAAAAGAATTGTTATACGTAGATTTTATTCCACCTTTTCAGATCCAAATAAACGTTTATTGGTTTGTGTTGCTTTGTTTTTTCCTTTGATTTTTTTTTTTTAAAATAAAAACTAAATGTTCAATAATTTTTATTCACGCAGGTTTATTTATCAAGATATGATTTATTAGAAATGTCACAAACAAATCATGTTTATGATTTAGCATTTAAAAACGTAAATCAAGAGAAATCATTTGCTTCATTTTCAATGGAAACGACACAACCTAAGGGAACAATAGGACCGGAAAGACATAATTTAGAAGGTTTGAAAATGCGTGACGGAACATTGTTAAAAACGAAACCAATGAATAATCCTGTGCAGCATATTTTGGGTCGGGGTATCACGTCAGAAGAGAAAGATGTTAGAATCTATTTATACGATGCAGATGATTTATCAGATGAAAAACCCTTCACACGATCATTTCACGTAACCAATGGCAAAATAATCACACCGACTAACTCGTGCCCGAATAGTAATGGTCGATGGTCAAGCAAACTTTATTCAAAAAATAAAATAAAATCTAATAGCATTGCTGTCGCTGCCGAAATTGTTGGTAAAAATGAGACGATATATGATGTACCATGTATACATTATATGATAGATACATTGAAATCGGTTTCGGTTAAATGTGAAATGTTGTTGGTTGCATGGGAAGAAAAAAGAAAAGACAAATCTTGTTCTAATGGTATAAAATATATATTATTGAATGGCGGTGAAAAACTTATTAGATCGAGAAAACATTGTATAATTTCTTAATTTTATTATTTTATATATTGTATGTATTTTATTTTTGTATATATATTTACAATATTGCACAGTGCGTGCAAATTTTTTAATTATTTGTTTATATCTTATAAATAAGCTATGTATGCGGTGCATACATATTTATATTAATTACAATAAAGTCAATAATAATATGTGAATTACGGGAAAACTTAAATTGTAATGGTAATTATTGGTAGTTGGACAATTTGTCACAACATGTGTTTGGTTATATGATGATGATAGGATGATCCGAAATATCGCTTTTTTTTAACGACAAGATCACCACAAACTTGTTATAAACCGGTTTAATTCTCTGTAAAAACCATTCATCCTTATTATTATGGGAAATCAAAGCACAGTTTATTTCTTAATAAAAGGAGAAACTTGGAATTCTAAATATGCAAAAAATTCAATTAACATTATTATTATTACTATTATTATTATTATTATTATTATTATTATAAATATAAGAAGATAAAATATGCATTCTTTTTTTTTAATGCCAATGTGAGGCCTTACGACCACATTTATTAACCCGTCTAAATAATTATAAAAGATGGTAAAAAAATTTCTTCTCTTGCCACCACCATCCACAAACTGCAAATTCCAACGTTAGTTATGAGAAATGGAATATGTTAGATGTACAAGGTTCTTTTAGTTCAATTTGATATCCCAGTCGAATGTGAACATTCTATAAATTCCTCACACCTGATGTTCTTTGTACCATGTTTAATAGTTTTTAATAAAATCAATGTTTGTTTATTTACAGTAAATATATAAATCCTATTGTTAACCTTAAAAGAATTGAGAAATTCAAAATTCTTATTTCAATTCGAATACTTGCTCATCTCCGAAGTTACTAATACACGGCAAAATACAATCGTACTCAATGAAAAAATTCCTGATCTAGAAATGACTCGGGAATAATTAAGGCTCCAAACATTTAATATATAAATAAATCAATCAAATGAAAATTTTTTGTTTCGGCGAATCTTGTTTCAAATTCGTATAATGAGTTTTTAAAATTTTTGCTTCACATATAAATTTCGTTGAACGCGGCTTTAATTTTCTTATGCATCCCATCATAGATATTATTATTTATTATTATTATTATTATCGTGTGACTTCTCTCGTACTTAAACATACCAATACGGAAATGGCACGGAGTAGATTCTCC